GGGAAAAGTTTATTTTAAAATCTATTAAACAATCAGTGTTATTAGCTCAACAGATAGCTTGCTAATGCTTAGACCAACATCCAGATTTTAGATTGCTTTCCATCTTATAAACTCTCATCTGAAAACAAAATCAAAGGAAAAAACCATGAAGCTTGTGTTCAAACCTAGATTCATAATGTAATCACTTTAGACCTAGCTTTTAAGGTCAGATCCAGAGAACATCTGTCATTTGGATGCCTGTATACCTACAGCAAATAAAACAAATGCATTGATTCTTTTTTGAAAGTACTGAGCAAATACAGAATATTTGTCAGCCTTACAAGGAACACAACTCATGAAGTTAATGAACTCAGTTGCTCTGAGTCACAGGTGTAACTTTTTGTTGATCTTGGGGACAGCCTGAAAAGTACCTCTACTAATTTTCTCAGAATTCTAAAACCCAAACCGTTTGTGACTGTCAAATATATTTCATTGTCAGTGCTCCCAATAACAGTTTTCCTCATGTTTCAGAACTGAATTATACATGATTTCCTAATGTGCATGTGAACACACACACATGCACACACACACACACACACACATGCACGCACAGACACACTTCTTAAGAGATTCATAACTAGCTCATAGTTCTTTTAATGATGAAATTAGAGCCATAAAAATGGATACTTTCTTTTTCACTGTCACTCACTCACAAACCATGGACTGAATGTCCGCCTTGTGGCCTCAAGAGCGTAATTCTCAGCCTAAGCTTGGAAGAAAAGTCCTTCAGTAATATTCCTGAACAGTTCTGTGTGACCCACTGAGTCATTTGATGTACTCTGGGCCACTCATATTACAAGTGTGGGAAACTTGGGGATAAAGCATATCAGTCTTCCTTACCCCTGAATTCTCATGCACTGCTATGAATTAGGGAAATAGTAGGAGAAAGTTACAAATTACCACAATGTCAGATTGCTCAGTAACGAATTTGCATCTAGTTTGACTCTTCTGGATCAAACCCAGCCACGATGCATCAATCATGCAACTTCTGGAAGCCATACATATCAGAGTTCTGGAAATAGAGAAGGGCGTCATTTAAGGTCAGTTCCTCTGCTCCTGCCAGCAGGGCTGCCCTGGAATATTTGTGGTTTGTGTTGCTCCTCAGTGCTCATCAGCTCTCACCCCCAGGAAGCTGCACCTGAATCATTTTCTCCATCTTTCTCCTGGTAAGCCAGGTCAGCCACATACAGCACTGAAAATGTTATCTCGGGGCAATTTACAAATTTAAATGTATCTCCTCATCTTATTTTGAAGAAGCATCATTTTTGGAATTATATCTAGTATAACCCTGTGGCAATGTAAATACCTTACTTGCCTTTTAATTATTCCAAGATATTTGCTGATAAACACTGACAATTTCATGGTATATATTGTTATCTCTTCTGTTTCTTTGAAGTTTGGGAAACAATTTATCCGGAGAGGCAACTGCTGCATGGTTAGGGAATTTGGAGAGGGAACATGGAGATGTAATAGGTGTTAGTCATTAATCCTGCAAGGGCTTCAATTTCAAAACCTGTAAAATAAGTGGATCAGATTATCCTTAGGACTCTTCTAGCCCTGATATTCCAAGAGATCTCCTGTCTTCAGTGACCTGAACATTTGATTGAGCAGAATTTCCAATTACCCAAATCTGCCAGATAGATGAGCAAGCTTACTGTTGAGTTGAAAGTCTTGAGCCAATAAGGAAAACTAATCCACAATCCCTGACTGCCGTATGCTTGTGATTTGACAAGAATTATTATAGTGAATTAGAACAGAAAAAAAGAACAGCGCATATCTGGCAAATTTTGTATATCAGTGCATTACAGTTTGCCAAAGTGTTCTTGAATGTTAAATGTTCCATTACATAATTTTGATCACTTCTTAAAAATGTTCTAGTAAAATTGGCTTATCTTATGATTTTTCTTGTTTCATAGATAAGCATATCATTAAAAATTAGACTAAAATTTACAGATATTTTTGAATTTATAAAGGTGTAGTTAAAAAAAGTGATTCCAGTGGAAAAGTTTGAGATAAAAAGTACAGTTATTTAAACTGTTTAGGAAGTGAGGTTGTATGTACCTGAGATAATGAGAGGGTTGTTAATTTTCAAAACTTTTGCGGCATAGTGTCTCTTACATGAGAAATTCAGAATATAAATAAAGAGCAAAAACAAAGGCAAATTATAGGAAATAGTGTTATAGATTGTTTTCAAAAGGGAAAAGGATCAAGAGATGGAGTGACAGGAGAGGAATAGGGTTGAAAAAACAATTAAAATGTGGTAGGCACCTGTACCGACTCACCATGAGGACTGTAATCATTATGTTTTCTGAACACATACTAGCAAAAAAAAAATTAAACAAAAACCCTTCCAATCCCAAAATAGGTAGCTTACTGTGACTATAAACATCTTCCAGGGTTTAGAAAATCAAGAAACAAACTAGAATCAAACTAAGAGCTAGAATGTTGGATATTTTTCTGTACATATGTGATTCTCTATGAGTTCTTTCTGTTCAGTGGCACCAACATACACTTAGTTTAATGCCTACCAACTGATGAGAATGTCATTTTCATTTACTGCTGCTGACAAATAGCGCCGGTATCTGTTATTTTATTTTTCTTTGATTTTATTCTCCTACTACTGATGCTCAACTCATGGCAACCTAAGTTAACGTTTATTTTTTAAAACATTCAGAGAGTTGTTAGTTGATGATGTATATATAGAATTTAGGGACAAGAATTGTTATTAACCAGTATGACATACCCTCAACTTGATGTATGTGGAGACGTGCAAGCCAAATATGTGATTTAAGTTTCTGCATATGAACAAAGATAAGACTACACCTCTAACAGTCCTCAGAGATTTTGTTCTTTATGAGAACATTCACTTCATTAATAAAACTGGCCACTAGGAAAAGAAGCTCTTAGTAGTAAGGATGTAAAGATTATATTTGGAGGAAGCAACCTGGAATGCATTATCTAATTTATGAAAAGTTTTCTAACATAAGTGAGTCATAATTTCAAATAACACAGTTTATTTAATGTTTTAAATAATTGTCTTAGCAAAGGTTTGATTGTCCTGTTCTTTTGGCGGAAAACTGCAATCAGTTCAGGTAGGCATCTTTCTATGCAGTACTTACAAAAATATATTATAATGTTGTCCTCCAGGGGGCGGTAAATCTTTAGCAAAGCTCCATTTTTGCTGGAAGGTGCTCGAATCTAGTAGGTAAAAGCACACAGTCTGATTTTCTTCTCTCTGGGCTAGAGGACTTCTAGGACTGTTGTACTGGATTTCACAAATGGAAGTTGTCTCAGGCTTTTAGATAGGATTTAACACTTTTTCGCTGAGCTAAAGTGAGTGCGAACAACTAATAGCCCGTAAGTGTGTGCCACTTTGTTCTGAGTGTCTTGCCCCAGGTCCTGGTTTGATGTGGCCCTCCAGTAAATCCTTAAATAGATTATTGCCACAGATAGGAATTAGGGAACTTTTCAAGGGCAGAAATGTGCTTTTTTCCAGAGGTCCATAAGTAAGTGTGTATTGGTTGTAGAAAGTTGTATGCTTTAAAGGTCAGAGGACCTTTCCTATACATGCATCACAATGGGCTATTTCTGCTGCTATTTTTAAGTGAAAACATCACAGAGGATGTTTCTATGGGCTGAGGAATCACCAACACTATGTATTAAAGTCTCTGGCATTAGGGCAGTATAGTACAGTTCAGTGGTTGAGGGTTCAATGATCAAGGCTTAATATCTGCTGTACCCTTTATGAGCCAGTTAAATATTCCTATTTTGCTGATTCCTCCTCCCCAAAAGATTGTACCATAGTCTTTTGATATAAGCACAAGGATGATGGTAATCCAAAGAGAGCACTTGGTGCACAGTAATTGCTTCATAAATAAGATTTGATGATAAATTGCTATTATTTCTTAATCCAAAATTTACACTTCACTATTGGCTCCAGACATGTCTCTCACTTCTTACCTACATAAACCCCTTCATCCCATTTATCACTCTATACCTTTATCCTTTGCTCCTTCTGCTTCTATACTTTGTCTATATCTTTGTGAGATTCCACTTAACTGCCAATGATCATCTGTCATACCATCCTAAAGCTAATGGAAAAATATCCAAAACATAATTTCCAACTCTAAGATAAAAAAATGTATTTCCCCTACTTCTGATCTATGAAAGGAACACAGTATCTTGATTGTGTGACAGGTGTACAGTTATACAGGTTTTTCGGAACTCACAGCATTGTACATTTAATGTGGCTGAATTTTGTATCATGTAAATTGTACCTCCATAAACCAACTCGGTAGGACTATCATGAGAAAATTGCAGTCTTTTGAGACAGATCTGGTTCAAATTCTAGTTTTAAATGCTTTCTACCTGGCAAGCCATTGAATCACTTTCACTTGTAGTTTCTCTTAATGTAAATGGCGTAATGGTCACTGTCTCCTCCTTACTGGAGGTTTAGAGATAACAGATTCAAAATGCCTTAGAGTGCTTTCACATGGTTGATGCTCTGCTACTGTTAAAGAGTTTCCCTTCTAGCATAGTTAAGTCTGTATTTGTTACATACTCCTGACCCACCAGAAAGTAACTTAAGGACTGAATATATGCCATTTATTCTTTTCCCCTGTGTCTAGAACAGATTAAAATCTTAGTAAATATTTTTAGCATGTTGTCTTTATAGTTAAAAACACCTTGTAAAAATCAAATGCCAAGATGCATTCTACCTTCAATATCAGCAGGATTCCACACTTTGTATAGTTACTTGGGTTTGCTAAGGTCCAGTATAAATTTTAAAGTCTGAAAGATACTTAAAAGTGGTCAACAATCCACCTATGGCTCCCCTGTGTGCAGTAAGACTTAATAATATATCTATCATTATGATGGTTCCTTAAGTTCACAGAGCTGTTTGTTTTTCTTTAAAGTAAGTGGAATGACTATACTGTTTTCTTGACCAATAAGTCACTCTGTTTTCCATGGTTCAAAGTTAAGTTTTTATTTGGTTTTAAATTAAAAAAATAAATTTCATTATTAAATAGTGAGATGGTTCTAACTAATGTTTGGATAGTAGCTTACTCAGGAATATACCATCAGGGGTATGGTTAAGGGGGTAGATCACTTAAACTAAAATCATTTGTTATGTTAAAAATTCAACAGTGGCATGATTCAAAAGAAACAGACATACAAAGTTTTAAATGTTTACAATGAATGGGAGAAGTAAACCACTTATTCTACTGCAATAGCAAACTACTTTCTCTCGGAGCCAGTCAGTTTGAGCGTTATACCACAGTGCTAATGTCATCGGGTTCATCTGCTTTCTTTTGCCTACTTGGCAAGGATTTCAAATACTCAAGATGTCTCCGGGCATCCTCCTGATTTTGCCTCACATAATATACCACATATGAGATCACCATGGTGAACCAGCCAAACATGGTGACCAGCATGGCATAGTCAGTAGTTTTTTTAGGGAGGTTACAAAGGTCAGCATCATTGGCAGCATTGAGGAATGGTCTCCCAGCGTGTTCATCCAACACAGAAGTCTTGCAGATCACATTGTGAGCTGTCTCATGATTGGATGCCATGCTCCTCAGAACTTGCTGTAGAGTACAGTCACAGTGCCAGGGGTTATTAGCAATTCTGGCCCGAGCCTTCAGGTTATTGAAGGCATTTTTGTGCACGCTTTGAATCCTGTTGTCAGACAAGTCTAGAGTCTGCAGTGTCTCAGCTACTCCTTTGAAGGCATGCTCATCGATAAACTCAATACCGTTTTTGGACAGGTTGAGAACTCTCAGTTGATGGAGGTCCTTAAAAATCTCATTGGGGATAGATGTGATCTGATTGGAGTCCAGATACAACAAGACTGTTTCAGGAGGAAGATCTCTAGGTATTTCCTTGAGATTTGCATTGCTACAGGTGACGTTTAAACCCCCAGAGGAAGAACAAAGACAGCCCTTGGGACACATACTGGCTGAGTGAAAGCACAGTATCATAAGAACAAAACTTTGTAGAAGGAGACACATGGAGAGGGAACGGGTTAACCACAGGTCTACCAGATTCATGCTGGAATGTCAGCATAATCACAAGTCCATTCCTCATTTATTCCAACACGTGTGGAAATGGTTCCAGCTCTGTCCACACCTTGATTTCTTTAATACGTGACTCAGAAGGCTGCAGCTAACACATGTGTCTCTTTATTAATCCTGGCCTTGCTTGGAAACCTAGAAGAAACAAAAGCAAATGCAATTAGTTCTTCTGCAATGGGAGGATCATTGCAATTAAAAAAGTTCTCACACATCTGGCATTCTACATAGGCAGGTCAGTTATGCAGGTAATTTCCATGAATGCCACTGGGAATTATCTGTGAAATGGGAATCTCTTGCTCAAATCTCAGGTACTAGGACAAAGAACATTCTCAAATTCTGTCACCTAGTTTATAGCTGTGCAGAATTAGAGCAAACAGTTCCAATTTCTCTCATCTCTACCACTCTTCTTCTGGAACCCTTCTACATTTTACACAAATAAAATTTAATTATGCCTTTCACCCTCTCTACAGTAACAAATGCATTAATGTAATTTACCACTGAACTTGGGAGGCAATGAGCAATAATACCAATATTTCATGGTTAATGACCATAGGCAGGAGTATCTGTCATGGCTTTTGAATCGATGCCCAATTTGGAATATTGGCTGTAAAGAAACATCTTATGTGACTTAAGAAACAAGTGACTGCCTTCTAACCATCACAACAAAATGCTTCTAGGAGAAGTCAAACATTCAAATTCAGAAGAACTGCTTCCCTATCACCCCTTGAGATTATATGACACCTCTTGAATTTGTGAAAGATTCTCTACATTCTGAAAACAGCATATTTCCTCCCCAGCAGATTATAAAATGTGACACATCTTTAGGAGACTTTTTTAATCTGAGAAGAGAATTAAGAAGTACTAGCCTCTGAGAATTCCTCAATGAGTAGATATTTATTTATGAAAAAACCACAGAAATAAGAAAATTATATGATACAAGCAAGATTATAAACTCATTAAGAGCAGAGATGGCAATACAGTTAACCCTCAAAACTATCCTCTACTATAGGGAAAACAGACACATCTTTGAGACCATTTCACAGAGGAGATGAGTGGATAGAGTTTGTATGATTTTCCCAAGGTCAAACAGCTTGTAGGTATAGAGACAGGACTCCAGCCAAAGTGTTCTGACTCATTAATCTCGCAACTCTTCCCACTAGCCTCACAGCTCTCTTCCGATCCCATCTGCTCCATGTGTATAGTCAGGATTCAGCAACTACTGTTTTGGTGATTTCTATGCTATTTTGTGGCAGCTCAATATCTTGTATGTGGGTCTTGGTCCAAGATGCAAGCCAGGTATAGGGATCCTCTGTCTGGTGAAGGGAATTGATGCTAGATTTCAGAAGTTTCCCACTCTGATCTAAGAACATTCATTTCTCTTTAAGCACTGAGCATCAAAAGACTTTCTGCATAAGTACCAAATGACTTTTTGAAAACTTATCTCTTATAAAGATCCCAGATGGATAAATACAGAGGGAAATGACTCCAAATGTTACCAAACTTGCAAAAGAGATGATTAATGTGAACTGAAAACATAATGAACTGGGTTGTTAATCATGAGAAAAAATGAGATTAACAACAGCAGACTTGAGTGGCTGTGCTTTTGGAATCCTGTGTCCCTTAAATGCCAGAAAATGCTGAAGAGGAACTGCTAGGTTTACCAAGCCATCCATCAAAAGCTCATTTCATTTGCAGTGAAGTGTCCCTCTCTTCCATGATTTCCTCCCAAACTTCATTGCATGGCATTTGGCGACTCTCCTAATTATTGAGATGGGAAACAGGTAAAATAAACAGGTGTGGAAAGGGACACTGTTAGAGAAGAAAGAGAGAACAGAAGTTCAAGGCAAAATTTCCAGCATGAAGACGGGAAAAGGACATAGAGGACAGGATGAATTTGATTAGAGATGATATGGTATCCATGCCAACTCACGAACCTCCTTATACTGAATATATGTAACCAGACTAAAATCTGTTAAGCGCTAGGCACTTCAATTTCCTCCTGAGATTATTTAAAGGAGTTTTTCTGTGTTCTGTGATTCAGACTATAAGCTCCATAAAGGGAGTAGGCTTATTTTCTATTTCATGTAGAAATAACAGGAAACAATTAGAGATAGAAAGTACCCTAGGCTTGGGTACCAGCTTTAATTCCTTTAGGAATGTGCTCTTAGGCTAATTATACAATCTCAGCCAACTTCATTTTCCTTATATTTGCATAAAGGTTATAAAAGCAACTAAATACAAGGTTCATTTCAAGATTTTATGAAATAATGCATAGAAAGCACTTAGCACAGTACCTAGTAGGTAGTAAGAGCACCACCTTGCTGAAGTACAGTCACTATTATCATATGTCTCCACCACCTACCACAGTGCTGCGATTATTATAAGAATTAAATAAATATCTGTTATATCAATGAAGCAGTACAATACCAATAAGTTAAATGGTGCCTTTTCTTCCTTATGGTGATCATTTTAGTTAGTATTTGTAAGATTAAACATTAGCTCATCAAGTGTCTGTTAGTTTTACATACTAGCATGATGAATTTTGGAAACACCATAGGGAAAAGTTCCAGGAAGATGGAAGGAAGAATAAAACTTTATCTAAGTAGACATCTCTGGACTCAGTCGTGGTTTCTCCATAATAATCCTTCTAATGATCATTGTCACAGACAAGAAGTGGTAGGATGGATCTTGAATTCTTCATATCAGATTTCAATCTATCTTGAGGTGAAATCCCTTATCCTTCAAGTAGGTCACATCTTCTGGGGAATCTTATTAGGAGGATGAAGAATTTCTTACATTTAAAGATTTTAGACCACAATATAATATTTTATTTTTCTTTCTACATTGTTTGACAATGGAATAAAAGTTTCTATGATCATCTAAACCATTGGGCCACTGGGACTTGTCTTTTATCCTCAGCCAGGATAAAGTGACAAGAGTTACAGGATATGGAGATCTCAGGCCTGTGATGTGGCTGTGATATGAATATTTGTGTTCTATATACAAACATACATTGAAATCTGATCTCTAATAGGAGAACATTTAAGAGGGGAGCCTTGGGGAGGCATTAGATCTTGGGAGCAGAGCTCAGAAGAATGGGATTAACGATCTAATAAAACAGTTCCCTAAGAATGTCCTTGTCCCGTTTGCTATGTGGAGACACAGAGAAAACATGGACATCTTTGAACTAGGAATTGGGTCCTCACTGGATATCAAATATTCTGGAATCTTGATCTTAGTCTTCTGAAGTTCTAGAAGTGTGAAAATAAATTTTGGTTGCTTTAGCAGAACTAATGTACTAAGACAGGTGTCCAAGGAGTCAAATAGAGGTTGAAGGTGGAATCAAGGTTATATTCACACAAGACAATAAAAGAATGGCTTCTACATTACACAGTGCTGAATAACTAATTTCCAAAGAGATTATCAGCTTGTTGACTAACCTCAGCTGTTGGGAAAGGACGTGAAGACCTGAACCTCAAAGGCAAAAAAAGGTGAATATTCTTTGGACTAGTTATCATCTAGTAGAGAATGCTAAATAGGAGTTGGAAACCAAAAACTCTTTTCTGCTGTTTTGAAGCAAGTTTGAACACAAACACAAAGCAACAAATAAGCTAGCTGCAGGAAAAAGAGTGCCTTCTTATCAACTTCAGAAAGTGCTGGTAAATATAAAGAAAGGCCGAGATCACATTGTGAGGGTGAAATCAACAGCAGTACTCACTCTTAACACCTTCTGAAAAGTAACCAGACTCACTGAAAGGGCAGACAAAGTTGAATAACTTATTTTGTGTCTCTTAACTTTCTCGCTGTAATTATCAGTTCATTCACAGAAGGACCTTGTCCATATCCACCTATTTTCTTCTAATGCATTCACCAGGAAGTCATCCTGTTTCTAAATGTAATGCTTACCTATACTCTGCATCTAAACATAGGATCGTTTTGTCCCCAAATTCATAATTGCTCACAATTTATTCCACAATTTTGTTTTTATTTAGCTTGAGTTTCTGAGTTAAAGCAATTCATGCTGAGATTGAGTGACAATAGTCAAATATTGTTTCCAGAAAGAAGACAAAAATGAATCTATCAGACTGTTCATTCAATAAGAAGATAAGTCATTCAGTGACTAACAGCTCTGTGCAGTTTCCTATTTCTTCCTTCACATCATTAAAGAATCCTCAGAGCAACTCGGGGGTTCCAGCCCCAAAAATGTTATTAATCCTTCTGAGATAACTGAGCATCCCAATTAAAAAAGAAATACCTTGAAGACCAATATCTTCCAATTGTATTTTGTGTAATTCTGCTACTAAAGAGGAGGATCTGATTAAAAAGCAAAAAATTAACAACTTAGTAAAACAAGAAAGACTTTAACCTCACAACACAAAAGCCAAACCAATAGAAAATTTCAAACATTTCATAACACATCTATAGCCAGAGATACAGCTCAGCAGCATAAGTTCCTGTCTGGCAAGTGCAAGGTCCTGAGTTCAATTCCCAGTACCAAAAATAAAAAAGTCAATAAAATAATTCTAAAACTTCTGTATGGTAAAACAAAGTAAGGCCATACATAAACCAAAGGACAGATGGCAACACAAAGGGGTGATATAAAGATATTTATATATATGAAGGGTACTTACAAGGAATAAGAAGCTAAACCAGTAGAAAAATAAATAGAACATGAAGATGCACAGATGATGAATATATATAATTATACAAAACAAACTATATAAAAGTGTTCTTATCTCATTGTCAGTAAAATAAACTAAGTTAAATTCTCTATTATCTTGTTTAAAATTGGAAGACTATTTAGTGTCAATAAACATATGAAGACAAAGCATTGTCAAATACTCCTTCCCCCACAGTCTCATATGCTCAGAGGTGAGTGGGTTATGGGGGTGTCATACTCACCAGTGGATAAAGTCACTAATGAGTTCATAGTGGAATGTGCTGTTAGGAGGTGGGACCTGGTGGGAGGAGGTGAGCCGTGGGGAGGGGAGACCTTGAAAGGTATATTCATGTCCTTGTTCCTTTCTCTCTCTTGAGTTCCTGGCTACCATGTGGGGAGTTTTTCTCTGTCATTTCCACAATGCTATTTGTGCCTGGGAGCCAGCTGACCTCAGACTAAGTCCCCTGAAACCATA